TAGTTTTCTTATCAAGAAAGGAGAACCCAAAATCATACAAGTCAAAACAAGTCTCAACCATTTCTAGAGAGAACAAGACAAATGAAGTATGATTTTACTACGTAGTACTTTTCATTGTATCTAATAAAAAACCTACTTCTAGGGAGGAGTGGAGTCATTGGGTAAAGAGTAGAGTCACACTAACAAGCTCAGTAACCGTGCATTACGACCATACATACCAAAAACATCATGTAATTGCTCCTTTTTTTAAATCCATTTTTCAACTCTAACCTATGAAACTTCATAAGTCATACTTTAGAGGAAGCTGCTAGCGCACTTCCTTTCCCCGTTCTCTAGGCATTGATGAGAACCCAGACAGGGATTTTTCCAGAGTTTACACTAGGAGAAATAACAGGACAAAAGCATAATTATTAAGGGGAGAAGAGGCGGCAGTCTGACAATAAAACGGGTACAAAGGAAGGAGAATGGGGGAATTGGATAGTCTGGTTTGGAGAGAGGGGCCCTCTCGAAAGGCTTCCAACTTGTAACTATCTTTCTGCAAGTCGATCATCTTTATCGTTATCTCTAGAGACTCGATATTCATCTTTACGATAAATTTTCAGAGTGATCGTTCGGGTATTTCCGTTCTTATCATTTGGTATCAAAGCATCGATCATTGTACCTGTGTATGGTAGTCACTCGGTCAAACATGGAACAGAGGCTTGAAAGTTTGGAGCGATCATTGGAGCTTTTCAGGGAAGAGATCGGAGCCGAGATGAGAGCTTTGATGGACGAAAAAGTACGGTTGTTGCTGGAGAAGATGCAATGTCTCGAAGTCCAGGGCAGTCACAGGAGAAGAAAAGGACGATCGACCACCAATCATCGACGTCAGACTTCTGCCAGCGTGAGTTCATCCAATTCCAGAGGTAACCTCATGATTCTCAATTCGTTTCTCGTATTCCTGAGCATACGAGAACTAACAATCGGGTTTATACCGGAAGAAAGGTGGACATACTGCTGTTTAGCGGAAACGGTGCTCATGGATGGCTAAACAGGGTTGAACGCTATTTCAAAGCTCCAATGACCGAAAAGGCTCTGAACTGGTACCAATGGTGGGATGAACAGACTGATGACCACGCCTAGAGTAACTTTAAGGAAGCTTTGATCAGACGCTTCCTGCCCGATTTAGTTCAGAACCCGTTTGGTCTGGTGCTCAAAATTAAGCAAACTCATTCAGTAATGGAGTACAAGGATCATTTCGAAATGGTAGTAGCTCCCCTCAAAATTGCTGACCCAGAGATGTTAAAAAAGTATTTCTCAATGGCCTCAAAGAAGAAATTAGCACAGAGCAGGAGTTGTACCAGACCAGTGAGTTAACTGATCTTCTTATGGACAAAGCCCTGCTTGTTGAACGGAAAAACATGACATCAAAAGGGGGAAGAAATAAGGAAATAGACAGAAGAGGATGGATAAGTACGGGAATGAATCCGTCCAAGGGTCAGTACAACGCGGAAGAAACTATAGGGAAATTTGTCACACCAAAAATTCCTATACTGGAGAAGGACAATTCAAAAGCTCAACATGAACATTCTAGTGGGTTCAATAAACAATGGAAGGGAGGACCAAGACTTTCTCAAGCCGAACTACAAGAAAGAACTAGAAGAGGACTATGTTTTAAATGTGGGGGAAATGGAGTAAAGAACACCTGTGCAAAATGAAAAACTACCAGCTAATCTTGGTGGAATCAATAGAAGAAAATGAGGAAGGTGAGCTGCAGGTGTTGGAGACAGAGGAGACAGACACGGGAGGTGAAACCAATTATATGCAGCTATCGATTTTAAGTAAGGAAGGAATCAATAGTTATAACACTTTCAAAGTCAGGGACAAATAAGGAATACGAGAAAACGCAAATCAATCGTAATCCTCATTGATTCAGGTGCTACCCACATCATTTCTAAGAGATTGGTTAAAGATATGGGGCTGAATTACAATGCAAACACTGGGTCCAAGGTCGAACTGAGAAATGGGGATCATGTTGTAAATAGAGAGAAATGTGAACAGCTCCCAATTTGGGTGCAAGGGTTGTGTATTACTCAAGATTTCTATCTTTTGGAACTACGAGGTACTGATCTTGTGTTAGGAATTGAATGGTTGGCTAGCCTTGGTGAGGTACAGGTAAATTCAGTGATTTATCCATCAAATGGAAGGAGAAAGGGGAAGATAAGATGCTCAAGGGAGGTTTTGAGTTAAACAGAACAAAGGCATCATGGAAATCCGTGCTACAGACTTTACAGCAAGAAGGAGAAGGGTACCTCGCCAGGTTAACACCCTAAAAGAGCATGTGACTATGAGGTAACTGATTCAATCAGGAACTTGGGAAGGAATGAGAAGAGCTAATAGGAGAATTTCCAAAGGTTTTTCAGAAGTAGGCAGGTTTGACAGGTATAATTTTGGGTTCTCCTTTCTTGACAAGAAAACTAGCCTCTATTTTTCTGCCTGAACTTTCAGTAGGTTTCTTTATATTTTATTAACTTACGCTAATTTTATTTTAGGAAATGGACGAGGCTGGATCTAGTGAAAGCTGGGAAGTAACTTTGAAGAATGAGTTGGTAAGGGGTAACATTAAAATAGAGATTAATGTTTTCTTTTTATGTAAGAATACTATTATATATGTAAGTACTAATTAAGCTTTTTACATTTAACAATTTATATATGTTTGACAAGCCCAATACAAGAGTAAGGGCGCTCAAGCTGTTGACGGGGTATGCTATTATTATTATGGAGTATCATTACTATTAATTTATTTGGATGTCGGGTACAAGGTAGCACATATACATAAATTATCAACTATGTGTGTAGACTAACTCATGGTATAGGCTTTCCTTGTCAAAAAATGTTATAGATTGCCATAAAACAAAAAAAATGATACTAATATAAAGTAGGAAGGTCAATATGTGCTTAGATTAAATTTAATATAAACAAAAACCCATGCATCTGCATGATTTTTTGATAACTTTACTCTATTAGACAGCTCATGCTTTATTATCGTATACTCCCTCCATTCTTAAATATGAGTCCTCTTAGGCTTTGGCACGAGTTTTAAGAGGAAAATAATAGAGGTAGTGTAAAAGGTGTAGTGGGTTGTGGGTAAATGAAAAAGTAGGAAAGAGAAAGGGGTAAGGGTAATAAAAGTGGGACAAATAATTAAAAACGTCCCAAAAATGAATACGAGACAGTTAATAACGAACGGAGGGGGTATATGCAGCTTACAATAGATTGAAGCCCAAAGTTCAAACCTCACAATTCAAAGCAGGAAGGTGCACACAACTTCATGCTTACTGTTGTAGATGAATGATTCTCCACAAGATCATCAACAAAAAGAAGGTCATCTACAACGGTAAGCATGAAGTTGTGTGTACCTTCCTGGTTTGAAATGTGAGGTTTGAACTTTGGGCTCCAATCGATTGTAAGTTGCATATATAAGAATAAATCATGAGTTGTTTAATAAAGTAAAGTTATCAAAAAATCATGCACATGCATGAATTTTGCTTTTATTAAATTAACCTAAGCACATATTGACATGCATACTTTATATTAATATCTTTTTTCTGTTTTATGGCAATCCATAACATTTTTAACAAAGAAAGCCTATTCCATTAGTTAGTCTACATACATAGTTGATAATTTAAATATATGTGCTACCTTATATCCGACCATCCAAATAAATTAATAGTAAAGATACTCCAAAATAATAATAGCATACCCCGTCAACAGCTTGAGCGCCCTTACTCTTGTATCGGGTCTGTCAAACATATATAAATTGTTAACCGTAAAAAACTTAATTAGTACTTACATATAATAGTATTCATACATACAAAGAAAACATTAATCTCTATTTTAATGTTATCCCTTACCAACTCATTCTTCAAAGTTACTTCCCAGCTTTCACTAGATCCAGCCTCGTCCATTTCCTAATATAAAATTAGCGTATGTTAATAAAATATAAAAAAACCTACTGAAAGTTCAGGCAGAAAAATAGAGGTTAGTTTTCTTATTAAGAAAAGAGAACCCAAAATCATACAAGTCAAAACAAGTCTCAACCATTTCTAGAGAGAACAAGACAAATGAAGTATGATTTTACTACGTAGTACTTTTCATTGTATCTAATAAAAACCTACTTCTAGGGAGGAGTGGAATCATTGGGTAAAAAGTAAAGAGTCACACTAACAAGCTCAGTAACCCTGCATTACGACCATACATACCAAAAACATCATGTAACTACTCCTTTTTTAAATCCATTTTTTCAACTCTGACCTATGAAACTTCAGAGGAAGCTGCTAGCGCACTTCCGTTCCCCCGTTCTCTAGGCATTGATGAGAACCCAAACCTTTTAAGAATTATTGCTGGCAGGGATTTTTCCAGAGTTTACACTAGGAGAAATAAAAGGACAAAAGCATAATTAATAAGGGGAGAAGAGGCAGCAGTCTGGGAATAAAACGGGTACAAAGGAAGGAGAATGGGGGGCAATTGGATAGTCTGGTTTGGAGAGAGGAGCCCTCTCGAAAGGCTTCCAACTTGTAACTATCTTTCTGCAAGTCGATCATCTTTATCGTTATGTCTAGACTTCTTAACATAATTTCCTATAAAACTGAATTAGCTAAATATATAGCTTACTTTAAAAAAAAGTATCCATCACAACCAGTTATAGTTTGTATACCAACCAGCGGACAAATTAAATATGCACTCCACCCCAAAAAAGGTCACATTTCATACACTTTTTTGTCCAAAATAGAGTCATTTTTTATCCAACAAACTATTAACAAAGCTTATTCTTGTAATTTGTCAACAAGAAGTCACAAACAATTTACATATCATAACTTTTTATATACCAACCAATACTTTTTTTTAAACAAGCAGGATTCATGAGCTATGATATGGTAAATTACAAAAAATTTAAAGTTGTACGGCTTGTACCTTTGTCAATCATGATCACATAGACAAAAGTACAAAACTATACGAACCAGATAATTAAACCAGCAGCTAATGCCTCAACGCAAGAGAGCTGACAAGGCTTGCCATAATTTACTGGATTTGCTGCTACCAACCAAGGCACTGCGATTCTCACAAGCATTATAAAGTTAGGAAACTCACGAAGGGCATTTATTTAAGAGTAAAACAAAATCTTAGTTACTTTAAAAATAATATTGAGTAATGGTATAGTACAAGTGTACTAAGATCAAAGGAGAAGATAGAACGTCAACCAGGTAATGGGAAATAAAGCGAATAGAAAACAACAGCAACGATATACTGAGGGCATGCGTACATACAAAGACGAGGTGCAGCACACCGTAGCTTTGCAAAAGGCACGTCATCCAAACGTGCCCATGAACAATCCACAACTGCAAGTCCCTTCTGTTCAATTAAAACATGATCCTCTCTTGATATGCAATGTGATCCAGCCGGACTGATAAAATAAATGGCATCAATACTTGAACTGATGAAACTAAATGGAGTACAATACAACAGGACTGATGCATTACCACAAAAAGGGAAAGATGGATCTTAACTACAGACACATCCATACACTAGCATTTTGGCATGACGATATAAATGATATACTGCCTCTGTTGCATAATAGTGTTCCCACTGTGTTTTCCCACACTAGTTGTTTCATTTCCTTTAAAAAAAGGTCTACCTTATGATACAACTTACTTTTTGACACTCTCTTATACAGGTCTAACCCCACACTCAGACTATGTGCAGTGTGCACATGCAAGTTTGAATACTAATTTGAACCTGAGGGACTTTGTTATTGGCAGTTGAGAATTTTGATGTAATTTGCATTAACTAAACTGCCAGAAATGCTCGAGTACATACACATTTTTTTTAACGATCCAAAAAAAAATCAAACCATATTTATGATTATGAGCAATCATTTCTGAAATTTGAGATATCCTACCAGGCTAGCTATTTAAGTCAGGAAGCTAAATTCAATAAGGTCAATACCTTAAAGCAATGCCGTTAAAGAAACTATTGACTCGCAACTCCTGCAAATAGTTAAAAGAAAATAAACTTCTCTTAAAAGTATATGTATGTTCATGAAATGATAGCTCAAACATAGTATCCACTTAAAAAGAATACAAGATAACATACAGTTTCAGAAAAATTGCCCATTACTTTCAAGGAGAATACTGAATCCTAAAAATATTTAACATCAGCACATCAAAAGCAGAAAGGTACTTTCCTTTAACAAACCAAATCGTGCAAGCTTGCGGCCAGTGCATCTTTTTGCATCGCATTGACCAAAATCCTGAACCAATTCATAAACTATATTAAATTAAGAGTCAAATGTATGCATTCCACATGTTGTATTTAGTAGGTATCTGTCATTTCTTGTGTGAATGTTAACAAATACATTTCAGCCTTCTCGAATGGGAATGATTCCCCTTTTTGTTCTATATATAGTATATTGCATATATGAGTGAAAGTACCTGACAAATGGCTAATGTTGCTCTTACTAATGGAGAGATAAAATTAAAAGGAGGTGTATAACAAATATGCACAAACACTACCAAGTCCAAGCATATAAAGCATACCCACATAGCAAGCTGAACACTGGGGCGTGGTGTATTCTCCTCTTCACCTGCAAGCAAGTAAGAAAGATGAATCATTTCTGCTGGGGCATTCGCTCAAACTTGTTGCACAAGTATACATTTAGATGTGGTTAATCTTTAACGCACCTGAATCAATGGGTAGTGACTCTTCATTGCTACAAAAGGAAGAAAGTGCATGTTAAAGCATTTTACCAAGATCCAATAGTGAACCAAAATCATAGCGCGTAGAATGTGTGAAATAAATTCAAAGCAGTGGATTAGGGAATTTATGAACCTGAGCAGATTATGGGTGTGTCTAGATTGACCATGATGGTTCTTGAATCGTCTCTGCTTATTGTTACCCATTTGATGGTACTATGGTAGCAGTAGTAGTGACCTAGGTTGCGTTACGGTCAATAAGGTGCGGGAACATATGAGAATGCGGATGGAGTTATGACATATATATTACTAATGAGTCGGTTATGGAAAAAAATTGTGACTAAATATAGCTTATAAAACAGGAAACCCCTGAATGCATTGTACTAAATTACCCCTCCCAAATCCCAATACCCATATAAACCATTCCCCTAGTGACTTGACCCCGATGCTCCAGTGACCTAGTGTTAGTGACTCAGGTGGCCCAATGACCCGCCGCCACAACTCTAGTGACTCTGGGAAATTGACCCGACGCGAACCATCAGCACCCTAACCCGCCACCACCCATCAACTTGCTGCCCCCCACCACTGGTCCACTGCCCCTCACTCCCTAACCCCTGCCACTGCCCGCACTCCCCCGCCCCTTCCCTACCGTCTGCCCTATCTCCCAGCCACTGCACCAATCCCCCCAGCCCTGCCCAAGCACAACCCCAACCATTTACATACCAGCCCCAACCCCAACCCCTGTCCCAGCCGCGCCCCCAACCACTACCCCTGCCCCTAATGACTCAGTAAACTGTCCGCGCTTCTTTGTTATGAAGCAACAATTAGTTCATGCAATTTTGACGCGATTTTTAGTATGGGTCATCCGGAAAAAAATCTATCTATGCTTTAGTACAGGGATAAAACTGCGTACATCCGACCTCCCTACCCCACCATAGGTGGGGCTTTGCGGCACTGGGGTAATGATGATGATGACATGTATTACACAATTAACTCGATTCATGGTTAATTTTTGTTTCACAGCGAAGGCATATATATACAAGTTACAACGATTTAGAGGTAAAATATTTTGATAACAACCTTGCAGAATGCGTGTTTTGAGAAATAGAATACAAAATTAACATTAGAAAATATAGTTTAAGGGGGCTGATTTTTTATAAAAGATTACAGCAAGATTTTAGCACTATTTCCACTAAGAGTTGGTTCATGTGTGTACAGTAAGGAGAGTTAAATTAGTTAGATAGTTTAGCTCCTTAATTATAGAAAAATCATACTTGCGTATATAGTATTTATTTATGTTAGTTTCTTTCAATAGTTATGGTAAATCAGTTAATTTAGTTGAAATGTGTTTAAAGTGAGAATAGGATGTAAAGAATAACAGTCTTTTGATTTAGAGTTATAAAAAATTCAACAGCTAGCATATGATTTCATATTTGTTTGAGTGAGATGAGGATCGAAAAACATTACATTTAAGGGCTTAGTACTGCTGATTTAAACGTTGAGTCATACGTATTACTCCGTATTATTAGTTATTATTGCAGTATTGCTCTTAATTGCAGGAAAACCAGTTTTGATAGAAAATGAAATCAGTACCAGACCTTTGGGTTTGAGGATAGATTAGTGTGAAACATAAACATGCACTTAACGAATAAATTCATATGAAAACCTGCTGATCTGGAGAACTAGCTACTGAACCGACGGAAGATCTTCAGTACATTGCGTCTTTCTGTTGTAGATCGACGAACGTGATTCAATAGTAGATGAAATCTGTTTATCTAATTAGCCATGAAGATGATGCAGTTGATGCAGTTGGATCAAGTGACCAGATCAGCTCTAGCTCAATGGAAATGTGAAGCCATATTATTACATGATGTGTAGTTAATAAAATGACACGTTTAAAGTTGTTAAAAGTTAGTTGTGATTTGTTAGCTAGCTTTTGTAAATCCGAAAGGGATATATACTGCATGTAATACTCTGTACAAAGGCAGATATGGAATAAACATCTTCTTCTTCCTCAATTCCCTGAACTATTCTCTGTTTGATGGATTTATACAACTCTCGTTACCTAAATTCTTCATACTAAAATAGGTGGCCTGGGCTGTATCATTAGTATCAGAGCCCTTTGTGGATCAGAATAATTCATTCACAGCTGTTGTAATTCCGTTGAAACCATTTGCGAAGAGTTCGCAGAAGGTGAAGCATGGTGAATACGAGGAATGCTAATGCCGACATGGACGAAGTTCTGAGAAATATGCAGATCAAGTTTGACCAGAAACTCGAAAATCAGAATAAAATCTTGATGGAAATGATGAATAAAGTCATGGCGAAAGTAGTAGAGATGCAGAAAAAGAAGAGTGTTCGTTCAGGAGAATCGGAAGATGAACATGAATCTGATAAAGATGATGAAGTATCTTCTGAGGAAGAGGATGAGTACGAACATGATAAATCTCTCATGAGCAACCAACAAAGATTCAGATTCATTCCGAAAGTAGAATTTCCTACTTTTGAGGGGTAGAATGTGAAGCTTTGGATCCAGAAGTGTGAAAGGTATTTTCAACTGTAACATTCCTGAGAAACAAAGGATCAATCTAGCTTCATTATACTTAGAAGGAAGGGCTGCCAGTTGGTTTGGAAGTTATGTATCATCTCATAAAAGGTTGAATTCGAAACAATTTATAAGAGACCTGACTGCTAGATTCAATGATAATTCCAACACTAAAATGGTGGAAAAATTTAATACATTGAAGCAAACAGGATCTCTAGAGACTTTTATATATGAATTTGAATCCCTCAAGGCTGCAATGGTTCAGAGAAATCCTAAACTACCAGCGAGTTACTTTTTAGATTGTTTCTTAGCTGCTCTAAAGCCTACTCTCAAATCTTTTGTTAAGGCTTTTAATCCTAAGAATATAGCAGAAGCTATAGAATTTGCCAGGTTGCAAGAAGACACAGTAGAAGCCATTACTATGCAATCTAAAGCTGGTAGTTCACACAAATTGAGCCTACATAAAACTATACTCCCTACACCTATTCCAAATGTTAAACTTCCTCTAAATAAAAACATTGCTACTCCAACACCAAGGAAGTTTGTATCTACCAGTGAGAGGGCTGAAAAAAGAGCCAAAGGATTGTGTTACTATTGTGACCAACCTTATAGTAGGGAGCATGTTTGCAGTCACAAAGGTACACAGTTATTCCTAGTGGAGATTGAGGGAAGTACAGAAGAAGAAAAGGTTAGGCAGGAAAGTGTCAGTGAGTTTGTTATGCAAGAGGAGGAACCACTCATATCTTTTCATGCTCTGAATGGTTATTTAGATTATAGAATCATGAGGCTGACAGGTTATGTGGATAAGAAGAAGGTGCTGATTTTGGTGGATTCAGGAAGTACACACAATTTCTTAAGCTTCAACATGGCTAAGAAGTTGGGATGTGGGCTACATAAAGTGGATACTATGTCAGTAGCAGTGGCAGATGGTTCCCATACTGAATGTAACTATGTTTGTAAAAATTTTACATGGAAGATGCAGAACGCATTCTTTACTGGAGACATATTGGTGTTACCACTTGGAGGTTATGACATGGTATTGGGAGTTCAATGGTTGAGTACATTGGGAGAAATAAAGTGGAATTTCCAAGAGTTATGCATGAAATTTGAACACAATGGTCATAAAGTGGTGCTAAGAGGATAGAAAAATGGAGAAATAAGAGCTATGCAAGGGACAAAGAAGCAGATGAAACAGGTCAATCACTTATACATGATCCAGTGCTACAGTCAGAATGTTGATAATAAAGAGGAGCAAGTGGAGACACATTTTGGCATCAACATGGCTCATGATTCAGAAGATCATGTTATTCCAGAAGTCTTGCAAGGGTTGTTTAAACAGTATGAGGATATATTTGCAGAGCCACAGGGATTGCCACCAAGTAGAGGAGTGTTTGATCATAGAATCCCTGTGAAAGAAGGGTCTCAACCTGTAAATGTGAGACCCTACAGATATCCCCTCAAGCAGAAGGACATCATTGAAGAAAAAGTTAATGAGTTGCTGCAGAAAGATGCCATTCAACCAAGTGTTTCACCATATGCTTCACTAGTGGTATTGGTAGGAAGGAAAGATGGTGACTGAAGGATGTGTACGGACTACAGAGCTTTGAATAACCAGACTATAAAAGATAAATCCCCTATTCCAGTAGTGGAGGAGTTGATTGATGAATTATCAGGGGCACAGATTTTTTCCAAAATTGATTTGAGAGTTGGGTATCACCAGTTGAGGGTACATAAAGATGATGTGTTCAAAATAGCATTTAAAACTCATTGTGGGCATTTTGAGTTTCTAGTTATGCCATTTGGGTTGACAAATGCACCAGCTACTTTTCAAGCTTTCATGAATCATATATTCAGGGAATTTTTGAGGAAGCTTGTTTTGATATTCTTTGATGACATTTTAATATACAACCCTAATTTGGAGTTACATAAGATTCATCTCCAACAGGTGTTTGAGGTATTAAGGCAACATAAGCTATATGCTAAGATGAGAAAATGTGATTTTGGGATTCAGAAAGTGGAGTATTTGGGGCAGTATATATCTGGTAATGGTGTTGAGACAGATCCCAGAAAGATTGAATCAATAGTGAAATGGCCTATTCCAGCTTCTTTAAAACAGCTTAGGAGTTTCTTGGGTATGGCTGGGTATTACAGGAGATTCATAAGGAGTTATGCATTGATTTCTAAACCACTTACTGAGTTGTTAAAGAAAGGATCATTTCACTGGAATAATGAAGCAACTAAGGCTTTTGAGACACTCAAACAAACTTTAACTACTGCACCAGTGTTGGCATTACCTAACTTTGATAAACAGTTTGTTGTAGAAATTGATGCTTCCAATAATGGTATAGGGGCTGTGTTGATGCAGGAGGGACATCCAATAGCCTTTATTAGCATATCTTGGGATTTGGGAATGAGGTGGCAGAAATTGTCTGTATATGAGAAGGAGTTACTGGCATTGGTGTTTGCAGTACAGAAGTGGGAACAATACTTGTTTGGTCAGTCTTTTATTATCAAAACTGATCAAAAAAGTTTGAAGTGGTTGCTAGAGCAGAAGGTGTCTACTCCATTCCAACAATTTTGGCTTTCCAAATTAATGGGTTTTAGATATGAAATCCAATACAAGAGTGGGATGGAAAATAAAGTGGCTGATGCCCTTTCTAGAGTGACAAGAGCTGAACTTTTATGTTTGGCATTATCCTCTGTTGATTCAAATCTATTGGATTTAGTCAAAGGGAGCTACCAAGGAGATGAAGGTGTGCAGAAGTTGATTGTCAAATTAGAGGCTAGTCCTGACATGAAGTATGATTCATATACTTTGAGGGAT